TTGTTCGGTTGTTGGTCAGTCACACTGGTATTATCCATTGTACCCATTCAGAGACGGAAATGTTTTATGTTCCAATTTAAGTAACTAACCTAAGACAATATTATTTTGACATCGTGAGAATTGGCCGATGGCTAGAAGCGTTCATTTTAATGAGCAAATACGAACATTGCCAGCCACTTGATGGGTAGGTGTTGCCTTTTAAAGCAAGTGGTGCTTAACTTTTTCTAGCGGAATGTGTGAATAAAGACATCATCTGTTAATTTAATCGATTTGGGTTTCTTGTATCTTCCGTTCATTGTTTTTGTTTTGTTTTTATGAACGCTTTCTCTTGTTAAGGGTGTGGTGGTGTACCTGGTTGGCTTGTTGTTTATATACATAAATATTTTGTTTATTATTTTGTCATATGGATACGCTATGGTTGTTTGCACTTTATCTTAACGCTCTCGCATATGCGGATGGAGGGAATTGTGTTTTCTCCTTGTTCGCATGTTTGAAAGCGAACAATTTTGTTTAAGATTTCCTACTATGCAATTTTTTATATCCGCCGAGCGAAATAATTACTTAATGTTTGAGTTAAATTGATTGTCCATATGGAAGTGGTGTGTGTACATAGAAATTAATATAATTGTGAGTATGATAATTAAGTTAGTCGGCAAGCTTATTAGTAGTCATAACATTATTGTACAATTCTTTAACTAGCATCATAGTTACATTATTACAAACATAATTGGTTGGGAATTTGGAGACGAAGTGTAAGAAAAAATTCTTACCATGTGCTGAAAACATTTCGGCATAATTTCTAATTAAGAAGATTCAAAATTTGACACAATTATTTCTTTAAGGTCACAATATCTAATAGTGGATATATCTTTTTGGGTTCACATATTGGTATCTATATATGTACAAAAAAAGTATATTCCATTTGTAATTCTTAAATACAACAAATTTTAAAGATCATGACCACAACTCAATATCATATTGGCCATAATATTATATTTTGTATTTTTATGTAAAAACTATTTTCGCTTCAATAAAAGAAAATTACAGAATTACGGCATCTATAATCAGTGAAACTTAAGGAGAATCCTTCAGCAAACACATTCATGAATACACCGTGTGAAAAAAAAAATAATTTTATTGCGGGTAACTCGTAAAAAGCCGTACCTCTAATGCATCAATTGGCAGAAAAGAATGAATTCCGCTAATAATTACATAAAAAGAAGTAAGGAATGTGCTAAATAAAGAAAATTTTGTTTCAACGGTTAAACACCGAGGAGGTGGAGTTTCGGTATGGAGGTGCATGCCAGCTAAAGGAAAATTTACCTTTATAGAATATACAATGAATCAGTATAGTTATGTAAAGGATATTTTGCAGCAAATTGCACAGGAATCGAGCATATGCTAATTTTCGTATTGATCGGGCTAACGTTGAGTCCTTGGTGCACAGTATATGGACCATATTCCAATTTTTTAATATTCCATTTTCAAAAAATCGTTTTTTTATGTTCGTACTACATTAGTGGTTTTTGGTACATATAAAGGGAAAAACTCCCAGACTCCAAATCCGTTCGCGATGAAGTTTTTAGTTGGTGCACGCAAAAAATATGTCGCGCAAAGATTAATATTCAAATTACAGCAACAACAAAACAAGATATTCAGAAAAAATATTTGTTTTTGCTTCAAAAAAATAATGTAAAATTGCGTGTAAATGCGTAATCTTCAAAATCATTTGATGCGCATACGGTTTCCAGGATGTACTGAAGATTATCTTCCAATCAATGTATATTTTCCGAAACTTCATTTGACGTCTAAGATGTAGTACACGTTGCATTTAAGTGGCTAAAGATTCGTACAACGCGAATAATTTCCAAAAAGTCCACACGCTTTTCGGTGTACAGTCTACAATAATACATTGATCTATACCTATTTCAATGCGGCCATCAAGAACCATGGATGTAGTAACTTCCTCTATTTTTGAGATAAATTGATTACATCTCTCTTTTAGCTGAAGTTTTAATGTTTTGTTGTCTAAAAAGATAAAAATTCGTTCGGTTTATTTATTGGAACGGAAATTATCCAGGGAATAGATGCATTTATATCCGCGATATATTCAAAAACATTTTTTTGCCAAATTTCTTGTTTTTGACAGGCCAGTTTCCGCCGTTCTAGTTGATGGATTTTGAAGATTTTATACGAAACCTAAAAAAGCTTAAGGATACCCGCTATAAGTACGATTTTTTATAAATCAAATTACAAATATATATGGGATTGAAGAACAATTAAAAAACACTCGAAATCGACCTTCAAAATGTGAGCATCATTTAAAGATAGATGAATATACTTTAATAATTCTTGAGTTATAAATGGATGAACCTCGGCTTCAGCTATGTTAACAAAATTATCGCAGAATCCACTGTCGAAGAACCGTGAAATTGGCCTGTATAAAAGATCGAAGTAGGGTATAACAATTTCAGCTAATGGAAAGCAAAATGATGTTCGAATTGGGATTTCTATATGCGACTTCCATTTTCAAATCTTAATTTACATGAAATTTGTTCTGGGCCATTACTAATTTATTCTGTGATAACCAAGTCTACTGTCTTTTTTATTTTCGATATTTTGCGAAATCTCTATATATAAAAATTAAGTTTACATTCGTGGTGGCTAAACTCAAAAACCACTGCACTGATTTTGACCAAACTTGATTTATATGATCTGTGGGCGTGAGTAGTGTTTCTGTGTAATTTGTTTCTGATAGGTATATCCTCATATTACTTTGCTCTCTAAATTGCACGATTTTAGTTTAGACATACGTTCCATCTTAACATGTGTTGGGAAAAATCCCCATTAAGAGTTTGGTGTGCTTTGTGGTTCACAACATTTATTTAAATAAATCGTCTATATAGGTCCAATTTTTTGGTATATTCCCAATATTATTACCCGGTCCTTATTCATGACAACACTCTATGGTGGACATTTTTGGAAAAGTTACCAGCAAACTTGGATTCAATTTATTATTTCTGGCCTCCAGTAATTTCCATGGTATCATTGGAAAATAATGGGAGCATAGATTCACTTATGTTTAATATCCCCCATTTAAATATTCCACACATTTATACCATTTTTGGGGGATATCCGGAAACTTGGGCGAATATTATAAGGAGCATTTTCTACTCAATGATCATCCAAAATAATTACAGTCAAATACCGAATATTAAGTGATGGGGGCTACCCGGATACTTGGGCCAATATTTTCTACTCAATAAGCTGAAAATGTGCCGTTATGTGGGTGCTACCCTAAAAAATGTTATAATATGGAACATTTTCAATACCAAATATCATTGGAGTATTAGCCATGAATGTGGAAATCTAAAATTCCCAATATTTTACACCAATAAAATTGCTAAAGCCAGATAACATAATTATTTATTGTTATATGCATGGGGTGTATTTATTTCCGCATTAGGCAAACCACGCGTCCTCTCTTTGAGAGTAATTTGTGTGAAAAAGAACGTAATAATAGGAACTTTGTCTGATCCTGATTTATTTACCCCCATTTTAGTAACATTATGAATACGCTTAGCCGAAATATCCAAAAATATGCAATTCACAATTTTAGTTCTAAGTTTATGTTTTAAATTTATAATAACAATTATGGGAAAATTTCAGAAAATACAAGAATTGCAAAATAATCCACTATTGCCGGCAAAATATTTTTTATTAACAAAGCATTTTTTGTGAATGAATATCTGCTGATATTAATATATATTAATTTCTGGCGGGAAAATATAAATATAAATACAACCAAACACCTAACACATGTGATGACACCCCATCAATGGAAATAACCTAAGTCCATTGTTCATAATCAGCAGATTTTGAATCGCTTTTTCGGCGTTTCATTCAATATTGCAACATAAAAACCGGTGTTTATTTAAATATTATTGTTAATCATCACCGATGGTGATGATGATGTCGGTCTGTCTTTTATTTGCACACTATTTGTTCATCCTCAATTTTTGTTATATTTATTTCGGGAATTGTTTTTATTTTCGATTTGATTTTCCATAAATTTTAGTCATGACATTCGATTACATTGGCTTATGAGGAGGGGTGTCTCTTTCTCTCTATCCGCTAACAGCTGAGCTTAAATTGGTAGCATTACATAATTTCTAAACCACACACGTCCATTCGGATTACATACACACTCATTCACATTGTTTTTGTTGTTGCTGTCGTTGACTGGCCGTTTGAAACGGAAAGTGGCAAACAACAAAGAAGAAGACAAAAAAAAAAAAAACCATTGCGTTCACTTTCGGACAATGACGACGATGGCGATGATGAATGCAAGAAAAAAAACGGGTTGATGTACCTGACCAAAAACCCGTCCATTATAAAATCCATATTTAATAGAGTTGCAATTTCTTGTTGTTTTCTGTTTTTTTTTGTTTTTGCCGCAATAGAGGAAGAAGAGAAAGAGGCAAAAGGAAATGGAAAACCGCAACAACATAATAATGCACTTGAACTTGTTTTTGAGCCATGAAATTATTGTTGGTCGTTGGTAAAATGTTGAACGGTGGAAACATCAAATCAATGATTATTTTCAATTTTCACTAAAGTCAATATCAAAACAGTTTTTGTTGTCTTTCTTCCATATAGTTTTTTTTTTTGTTTTGTTTATTTATTTTCTTTGCACAAATTTAATTTCTTGTCACTTTTCGTTGCAGTATTGACAGTTTAGTTTATTTTGGTTAAAAGGTAAATCCAAATACTCGTGATATACGCACAATGTCATTGTCGTGGTGTTTGTCTTGAACATCATTATCACGATCACACTTTCACTCTTTTTCTTGGTATCCACGATAATCTTAAAGCGGGTGCAGGAATCTCTTTACAGTTTATTTTACACTTTAATATTTCCTTGGTGTTTAGTAATTATTTTATTTTTATCGCTCTTTGTCCATTTCACATCCAATATGAATCCTTCTCCGAATACTCACCTTCATTGTGTTTGCTTTGTGTGCGGTTTTTGGTTTTAGTTTTTAATATTTTTTTTACAATATTTTGGAATTTCCGTTCCGACAATTATTCGTTTCTTTTGTTCGACGTCTACGCGCTACCAAGACGTCCGTTACGTTTGAGGTTATCGTTAAGACTTTTACCGTTTCAAACCGGCGGCATATGATCGCATGGGCTTTAATAAGTTTTGTTTGTATTCCACTTTGTTTAACCTATCCCAAGCTTTTTACGAGTGAGTAGCTTTTTGTGTGTGCGTTTTCTTTTCACTTTCTTTACAACACTCGCGGTATGAAGCGAACTACTCAACACTCAAAAACTCTTTGACATTGAGTGGTTTCTTTTAAATATTGAGTTAAATGACTCTTCGTTGACTGCTATTGAGTCGTTTTAAAGATGTTGTTATTCGTTTAATGTCTAAAAAGCATTTGAACGATTTTCCACAAAAATCAGCGTCTTTTAAAGAAAATCTGTTTATCATGGCACAGGCACACAATGTTTGAAAATGTACGCTCACACACAGCCACAGGGGCGAATAGTTTTACGAACACACATACATAACTATGGCACGCGTATAAATTTTATGTGTGGCGCCGCCACACACGGTGGACAGTTTAGTAATTATGGGAAATAATGTGATTACCTAGATGTCTACATTACTTAAAAGCCCATGCTACACATATTTGAGAATAGCCCTTGTATACATTAAACTCTACGATATACTCGATATGTTTACTACCTAGAAGTTTTATTATAGAGGCTAGATATAATGTACTTTTACTCAGAGGCAGTACTAAATAAATGGGCCATTGAACATTTTATGTGAAGAAGATTTCTACCTACCAAGGATTTTGAATATAAAATTATAGTATGTAGGTTTTTCATTATCTGAAGAAATATTGTTCAAAATTACAGACACTCAGATTGGAAGACTTGGGCAGGAACTACCAAAATTTAAACGGGTTATTGTGAACTTTGCATAATTTCTGGAAATACTTTTATTCACTAGGAATCCAATGTATCAAATTATAGCCACTTCGATGGTAAAATTCAGTTATAAACTTAGTAATACATACATATATGGACAACTTTCCGCAAATACGTATTTTACCTTCCAATATCTTAAAATACAGCCACTACAATGTGAAAATGCGCCTAAAGACTGACAATGGGTCGTTACCATTATATAGGGACTTTACATTGACCTATGTTGAGAGTTTTGTGTATATATGTATGTCAACCTTCAAACCCACCTTATGCCAAATTACAGACACATCGATGGCAAATGCGGCTAAAGCATCGAAAGTGGTTCGGTACCGTGCTTTAGAGCTATACTGAAACGTAAATCTATTATTTTTTGTTTGAAAGATTTGACACCCTATGAGAACCAAAAATCGAATTTGAGTAAATTCAGTTGAAAAACATGTCCAAAAAACCCCGCTCCTTTATATTGGAGCTACCCGGAAACTTTAGCCAATATCGATAATTTTGGTTCAGAGTTTTTCTACTGAATGTGAACCGAAAAAGTTTGTAATTTGGTTGAAACACGTGCCCAAACTCCCCAAAATACCGAAATTGGTGATGCAAATATTGACAATTTTTAGTATGATGATTATTTACCCAATGAGCTTGAAAACATGCAGAAAGACTTCAAAATTTGATTATTCAGAAATACTGCTTATGGAGCAACGAAAAAGGTAGATCGATATATGTCATTTTCAATACGAAATATCCTTGGAGTAGTACCAATGTATTTGCAAAATTTTACGGAGGGTCATGGAATATATAAGAATATATAACTTATGGAGTCTCAGGTGAATATTTTGAGGTGTTTGCAACCTTCTGGTTGAAGGTATGAAAAAACGAATATTAGTTCGAGGTCATCCTTGTTAGTATATTTGAACAAAACTTTGCCCAACCTATCATATTTACCAAACCTAGTCCGAAAATGGGACCAAAGTGTCAACATTTTTAAAAATTTGGTAAGGCATGGTACAATTATAAAAGGTAACAGCAAATCCCAGTTGATTTGTTTCCAACGTAATACTAGTGTCAATAAGAATATGACAAATTATGTTTATAAAAATCACTCAACAGAAAATTGGGAACGCATACAATTTAAAATTGCTCTTTATTAAATGTCCTCCCGTATTCAATTTACTCAATATGCTTGCTGGGAAAGTTTGAGGAAGCATATATTTCTTCATGGAAATTTCCAGCATTTTCATATGTGTTACACATATAAGTGTCAATGACTCAATTATAGGAATGATGTGGAAGCGATAGAAATATAAATTTGATAGATTTTTATTCATGTTTTTCAATTTTATTTTGAGGATTCGAAAATATTACATTTTCAAAATAAATTTGTTGATAATTTGTTTGCTTGTTTACACTACATTTTTTAGGCAAATGACGTTGACACTAGTAGAACTTACAACAACAAATTTCCATGTGGTTGTTGTATCGTTTGCTGTACAACAACACCTTCTATTATTATACCATGAGGCAATATCAAGCGAATAGAGTGTCCGATTTGTTAAAAAATGTGCACACCGTATTATTTTTTTTACTAAAGTCAAGTTTGAAGATGGGACTTATCAGCCCACTCCTTCTAGAAACTCCCTGTCAAAATGCGATAACTTTGAAATAACTTGTAATTTTATGTGAAGCGAACGGAATATAAAATTCCACCGAAACATTGCATAACGTATTATGTTCATCTTGGATTGATCAAGTTTGAAGATAGGACCAGTCGGTCCACCACCTCTCCATCAAAATGTCAAAATTTTGAACATTTGTTAACATAAAATCGAAACCCAAATATTAAATGTCATTATAGAATAAACCATGTCTCCTAAAATGTCTATCCCAAAAATTTTTAGGTTGTCGCAATCCCAACAGTCGGAGTCTCCGACGAGTATTTTGAGATATTACGAAACATAAATACCGTAGTTTGTTCTAATGTACTACAATAATTCCCATTATTATACCGCCATCGACTAAACGTTGATCTTTATGACTTTTGCTAAGTTGTTGTTGTTGCTGTGGTTGAGTGTTGTTTACAACCTCATCTCTGTGTGCTCTTAATAAAATATTTTTATATTATATTATTTAATTTTGTTTTCATTTTGTATATACATTTATATGTTTTTCTTGTTGTTTGTTTTTCTGTATCTTTATTCCCAAAATATGCTTAGACAATTTCCTTGAATACAATTTGTAGACGCGTGCGTCAAAATGCATTGGGTGCGTGTGTGTTTGTATGCTTGCTTTAGCATGTGTCATGTTTTATGTTAAGAGGTTTACAAGTGTTGTAATGCAAACATACATCTACACACAACTAAACGAAGCCACAATACATTAAAACTTCACATACATCTATAGCCACCCGGCAACTAGTACATCAATGGATTCGATATAGCACAATTGCATGCTCATGCACAGTCAGTCAGTCGTTCAACGGTTAGATGATTTTATTTTGTGCAAATTTGTCAAAAAATGCACCAAAAATTTATCATTTGTTCAACCACTTTTGGTTTCATATTCGCGACAACGACGATGACGATGAAATAAATACAAATGAACAAAAGACTTAAGACACAAACCTGATTTCTTTCTTTTCATGCCTTCATAGCATTCATTCGTCAACAAGGAAAACCGCATCCATTTATCCAAAAATTTCCATTCCATGGCAGTTTGTTGCATCATTGAAATTTTGGGGTTTGTTAGGGGAGTGAGTTTGGGTTATTTTTGTGAAATTCGGGATTTTAATTACACACACATAAGCATTAATCAGGCCGCTATTCAACACTTTGTTGTATAAACTTATAGATCTACTTTTCATCAAATATTGCAACATACCAATTGCAAAATTTTCCAATTTGAAGCCAGGAAGAAAACAAATGAAAGTTCAAGTGGTAAATAATCTTATTCCTTTGGAAATATTTATTGTATTTCAATGGTAATAGAAGTAGAAAAAAAACATTTGTTATACTCTGAAAACGTTTCCTGTGAGTCTTAACTTAATATTGAAATGTTGGAAATATCAAAAACAAACTATTCTCTTAAACTCTTAAAAAAATATCGGAAACTTTATATGGTGACTATATCATTGTAAGTTATCTGCGAGTTGGTTGTAAATATAGTTGGTTAAAAAAAATAGATTATAGACACTCAGGCTGAGAACTGGATCCTGGAAAAACTGTAAAAAATGTGTTTCACACTACAAAAAGCCAGAATGCCAATTTCATAACTTCCTGCAAATGTATATGTCAGCCTCCAAATTTGGTTGAAAAACGTGCCAAAGTCCCACAATTCGAATAATAGGGAGTACCACTCTATTTGGACTACAAATATTGATAATTTTAGGAATAGAGACTTTCTACCCCAATGAGAATCCTTTATATCAAATTAGAGCCAATTCGGCTAAAAAAACATGCCCCTAGTCCAGTGTTTAACCGAACTAAATTGAGAGTCAGTGTGTGAGAGCGTAAGTAAGAGATAATCATAAAAATGACTAACCAATAGAAAACAAAGTGAAGACGTGTTTAACCATCACCGCTATCGTACTATATTATACATTAATCATTTAATATCAAATATAAACAAATAACAAATTACATTTCATAATACCATAAAATACCCAAAATATCGGATACCCTTATACGGGTGCTATACCTAAACGATGGACCGATATATCTCATTTTCAATTCCAAATGTCTTAGAAGTAATATATTCGAAATTCGTAATTTTAAGAACAAGCGTAAATATATATGGGCACTATTGCCAATTTTTTAACATAGCTGAAGCCGAGGTTCACCCCTTTATAACTCGGGAATTTCTTGCGTATATGAAAAACCAGTAAGGAAAGTAGTAAAGTCGGACTATATGATACCCTTCACCACTTTGGGTATATTCAACAGATGCATTCTAACATAACATAATAAATATGAACCGACTAAGATCAATCCATAAACATGTCATTTTGTAACCTATACATACTAAACTGTTCATTTG